ATCATCGAGTCAGTCGTCGTCACTTACTTATGACGACCGTTTGAAATTTTACTCCGATTAAGCACGAAAAAATGTTACGCAAATATTTTTTCAATTTTGTCATAGAAATGAAAATACGACGTTCATACGTCATGATTGAAATAATTTTTAATATCTAGATATATTATATCGATTAAAAAATATATTCCAGTTCATTAATTAATTATTATCTATGATCTATGTACGTAGATGAACGTATTACGTAGATGCAAAAAAAAAAAAATAATGGTGTGTTTAATGCTTATGCAAGTAGAAGGGTATGTATTTTCGTATAGATAGAAGCCTCGTTGAAATCGAGACAGGTAGAGATACTGATGTTCAATAACGAAGCTCTTACTACTACGAAGGATAAGGATAGTTCGAAATAGAAGCAAGTGTTGTAATGAAGAGCAAGTACTAGCGATAGCATGTACTATTAGGACGCAAGGTTGCTGTTGTATTACTTACTACCATGTCTTCATTGTGGTAGTAAGTGGTGCAACATTGGAGCATTTATGTACATCACTAATACTTCCGGCAGAGAAATAAGCACGTTCTCTAAATACATACTCATAGCTTGTTTTAAGTAAACTCTCAGATCCGATACAATAACAATATAAAATAGATTTGTGCGGTAGTTAACCATTCAAAGTCAGTATCGATTCGAGAGTGCAAATTACAATAAATGAATTCATTTGAAATTTACAATGGGAACCTTTTACGTTTCTCTTTCGTTTTTTTCTCTTTTCTTTTTTTTTTTTTGTATCAGATTATTATAATATGAAATTATTTGATCTTCCAATGATATTCAAGCTTTTTATAAAAAAAAAAGTATATATTCAATACGATACTCTATGAATAAATGAAAAGAAAAATGTAGCTTTGATCGAAATTCTAAAGTAAGAATTAATTTTATAATACCTTTAACCTTTCTTTCTTTTCATTTTTCATTTGCTCGTTGCAGAATAAATGAGCAAATGAAGAACGACCAAGCCCGATTTTAATTTACGCGCAAAGTCAGGAGCATATGGTTAATCGAATGGCATTAATGTCACCACCAGATAATATGTAATGCAATAAAGGTAATCGATAAAAGCTCGCTGACCTACCGGCTGTTGTTGGCCTACCGATTAGTGTTGATTAGGAGACGATATTAGATATACATCTTTGTCCCACGATCGTTTTGAAATGTTTTGCTGACGATTTCGTGCTTTTTCTTTTATGAACTTGATATTAGATCGATTTGAATTTTATAAAATATTTTTAAGCAGAATATCTTCTATAAAACAAAGCAGCGATATTAAATTCGTTTCATTAACGGAATTAAAAAAAAAAAAAAATATATATATATATATATTTTTCTATGGTTAAATTGAAACAATAATATTCTTTTGTCTATTAATTCGATCTTTATGAGAGATTCTATTAAATTATTGACAATTTTGAATTCATTCAAAACTATTCGCAATGTGCCAAAAATTTGAAAATTTATAATCTCTTTTACCGGATGTTTTCATAATCTGCTTCATAGAATTCTGGTCAGTGTCATGCGTTGTTTTTATTCGAGAGAATTTTTATGTTACTTCTATGAATTTTCGACTTTTTCCGATAAATGAAATCGGATTAAAAAAACCGAATGGTGAAATGTTCGGTTCGGTGAACGAATTCGATGGGAGAACCTCCACTTTACACGGGAATAGTAAAGCTTTAACCGAGGAACTTTGTGAATCGAAAGAGTTTGAGAACATATATATATAGTTCCGTGAATCGAAGATAAGTTAAGCGAACGAATCGGAGAACGATCACGGGGAAATGTTACTTATCCTTTTATGTCGTTTTTCCTTCTCAAGAGGAGATCATGTATATTTGGTTGATTTATTTCAGATGTCAATGTTCGCAACGACTGCAACATTTGCACCGATTTTGTCTAGTAGAAATTCCTACTCGACGAGTAAAACAATTTTATCCGGTGATAGGAGCAAAGTGAACATAAGCTTTTCGCAAAAAGGTCTCCGCAAGTCAATTGTGCGATTCTACTGGAAGGAGGAGTAAATAGTTAAACTGGAGAGAACATTGATTCGATAGTACGCCCATGGATTCTGTCTTCTTCTCTCTGAAGTAGACTGAAACTCGTCTTTCTTCTCTCTCTCTCTCTCTTTATCTCTCTATCTATCTATCTCTATCTCTTTCTCTCTCTTTCCCTCTTCCTTCCTTCCTCCTTTCTTCTTCTTGCTCTACTTCCTAAGGCTTTCACCGTAGGAAGCAAAAGGCAGCTCCCTTAATTCATTTTGCTTCCATCGTTGAACCTCCCTGCCCTTTTCCGGTGGCACGCTTGAAAGAGCATAAGTGTGCTGGGAATTGTCAAACCAGAATTGTCAAACCTGTTCGTCGAGCAGAGAGGAGAAAGTAAACGATGGACTTTAACAACGTTGAAGGAATCTCGCGAAGCTGTTCTGTTCGTTGCTTGATAGAAATTCTCTCTATGTAGCATATTATGGGTGATATCGTGATAGAGTGAGAAAGAGAGAGAGAGAGAGAGAGAGAGAGAGAGAGAGAGAGAGAGAGAGAGAGAAAATGAGTAATTCGATTCATTCATAGAATAGACTGATAAATGCGACAGAGTTGAGATATACGCAATTATTTGATGCTATTTCGAAGAGCAATGATATTACGACTGACACGAGTAATTTTGAAAAATTAGGAATGGTAGAGAACACGAGAATAAACTATACAAAATTATATCTTTTTAAGCCGCAGGTAAAGAAACTTGTGAAAAAAGAGAGAGAGAGAGAGAGAGAGAGAGAGAGAGAGAGAGAGAGAGAGAGAGAGAGAGAGAGAGAGAGAGAGCAAGAGCACGAGCAAACAGTGATAAGAACTAGCAGAGGAAAAATTCTGTATTGCATGGAAGCTTGTTTACCGGAACACAATGAACGTACGAAGACGATGTGATGTTCAAACACACACACATACACACACACACACTCACATACTCACATACACATACATACAGTCTTATATAGATGCACACACTCACACACATGCACCCAACACAAGAGACATGGAACTAAAGAAGAGGATCACGAGCGGTCTGACCAGTGTCGAAAGAATTTCTTCGGGTAAGGAACGAGTTCAGGAATTGCATGAAACCTGCTTGAACGTCTAATTTACGCGGGTTCGTTCGAGCCATACGTGGTCTCGATTTTTCTTGGTATATAGGTGTACATGGTCACACGGAAAATAGGTGGAAAGAGATGAAGGAATGGACGAGAGAGAGAGAGAGAGAGAGAGAGGATCTTGTATAAGGTGCCATTTTGGTAGAACGCGGTTCGCGGGAGACTTTATAAGATGGTCGTGTTATTGGTGTTGGTGGAGATAGTGCTAGTGGTAGTGGTGCTATGTGAGTGCTGGTGGAAGTGGGAGGAGGATAGAGGGATGGAAACGACGAAACGACTGGAAGGAGTCGCATTTTTATTCCTCCGGTCTGTGCCGACGTAGCAGATGAAAGCGGTTATGCCGACTCCGTATTGCCCTCCTTTGTCTCCCTCGTCTTGCCCAAGTCGTCGTCGTATTCTCCTCTCTTTCTCTCTTTCTCACTTTTCTCTTTTCTCTTTTCCTACGGAGTCTCAGTCTGCAGGGCACACGAGTACGAAGGAGAGCTTCGACTCCACCTTTCTCGTATTTCCCTTCCGACTGCTTCGCTCCTTTAACCTCTTTCTTCTCCGCTTTTCTACGATCTCAAAGCCGATTCTATGTATCTTGGGGTCATTCGGCGTATATTAGGTTACACTGGCGCTCGACCAAATACCAACGATAGTTCAAGGACCTTAAGGAAAATTCGTGAATTTTCTTGTTTTCTTTCTTTCTTTTCTTCTTTTTTCTTTTTTTTAAAGAAAAAAAAAAGAAAAAAAAAAAAAGAGAAAAAAAGTAAAATGCCTTTCGAACATACACGACGCTTTTCAAATAAATCTTTAATTTTTCTTACTCTTGAAAGTTTTTAGGACTTATACGAAATAGCGATAGGACTATCGATAGTCTCATCAGAAGGGTAGCTTCAATATTCGTAATATATTTCGACTCCTCCATCCAAGTTGGTTTAGTATATACCGTATATATATATATGTATACGTGTATATATTCGATCGTGCTAGGTCGGTGAGTTCTCTTTTCTCTTTTTGTTGTGGAGATTATTGCTTTCTCTCTCTCTCTCTCTCTCTCTCTCTCTTTCTCTTTTTCTCGATCTCCTACTCCTCGCAGTCTCACAGTTCGTTCGACTCTCGGGATCCATTCGCACGGCTTTTCGCAACATTATTAAAAATCGTTACTCGGCGTAGCGCCGTCGTCGGTGGATGCCAGTAATAGAGGTGGAGGTGGAGGCAGAGGAAGAGACGGCGGCTTTTTCGTGATTTAGCTCTTTCCATTTTTCTGGCTGCACCTCGGATCGTCGCAGGGCTTGATAAGTTCTCTCGATATTCGGTTGCTGCAGCAAATCATCGGGAGGATACATTTATTCTCGGCCGTAGGTACCTCGATGAAATCAGAGACAGTTCCACCGTCGAATGGCCAATGGGAAAATAGTAACTGGATATAGGCCGGAAATGACTGCCAGCTGATAACCGGATATCTAATATCCGAACGTTTGCCTGGCCGAGTACCGAAAAATACGAGAATCCGATAAGCCTACGGTACTGTTTACTAACCATATTCACATACACATCGGATAACGTTCTTTTTCGCATCGATTCATCTAAAAAACCCTTTCCTTAACATTCATTCGCTAATATTTATTTCAACGCGAGATATTCGAGACTCGATAAAGAATAAAAATTTGAAAAAGAACATTCTTTTTTTTCGTTTGTTTCATATTTTTTGAAAAGAGTATGATTAGAGAACCTACTCTCGTCGAGTTTACATGTTATTCTCACGGATCAATACGTTTGTTATGAAAACATGTTATACTGACCTTTCGGCGTGTTTGTTTACAGGTATCTTGGATGAGGATCAGGGATCTTCATATACTTACGGCAGGCACGGTGGCCTTCAGTAGCGATGCTAGATTCCATCCCCAACATACTCCTGGAAGTGACGCTTGGACCCTTAGGCTAGATAATGTTAAAAAAACGGATTCGGGCATATACGAATGTCAAGTAAATACAGAGCCGAAGATTATGTACGCCGTTCGATTATCTGTCAGAGGTATGTTTTCTTATTTCATTGTTATAGATTTCGTTCTCTCTTGATTTTGTCGTATCGTTCTACTTTAGATAATTTTAAAATCGAACATTGTTAAAAATCGTCTTAAATATTTTAACCCAACGAAAGTCTGTCGCCAGGCACAATTACGAGATCCAATAAATGCTTTCGTGTTTTCAGAGCCCGATAAACCAGAGGGTTACGACGAACCGCATTCTCAACAAACACGCATAAGTAAGTACACATTACACGCACAAGATATATACCAGATCGTAAACGAAGATAGCTTCTAATGGCCATGCAAACGGAACCCATCACTTCCTTACAATAGCTTCCCTTTCGAAACTATACCTACCCTATGTGTCAACTCTACATTCAAGTGTATAGCAAATATAAACTTCACTTGTTTGCTGAATGTGCCTGCTAAAGTATTTTAGGTAATTCAAACGATAAGTCGTAAACATTAGCTTGATTTTCGAATGAGCCAATTACTCGTACAAAATTATGCCATTTCGTAAAATGTAACTAATATCATCGTTCAAACGATTCCATAGAAGAAATATCTAGGATCGAACATATTGAACATTAACATATTTAAAATATCTAATATGGAAACAGTAATATCTTTATGATTGTAAAATTCTTTCATATAGGATATTCTATCGATGCCGTATTTAAATGTACAAGTAATATGAATACTCTAATGTTTTGCTATGAATGCTTTGACGTTATATGCATATATAGATAGAGATAGATTCAGTAACGTGTTTCTCCATGTCGAGACATTCATGATACACGATATGGAAGATAGCAGATAGAACGAAGTTTTATTATTTGTTTGAAATATCGAAGGTAGGTTTCGTTCTTCTATTTCAATATCTCGTTTTTTTTTTTTTATATGAGATCATTCATTTACTTTATAAATTCTAACAGTATATAGTTATACTGTTAGAATATAGATAGATATAGAAACAAAAAGGAACGAGATCAGAATTGTATTGAAAAGTTTTTCATATCAATTACCTATAGAAATTAAACTCGATTATTTATTATAAATATTTCCGTTTCTTTTTTTCGTTGCTTGCGTTACATATATATATATATATATATATGTATACTCACGTATATTTTTCGTACATTTATTGACAATTATAATAAGACATTCCTCGTTGAATTATATCGCGGCAAATATTTGAAAAACAAACATGTAAACATAGATTTCTTCGTAATTAAGTGATGCAAAGAATTTTCCGAGCAAATTTATTCGGAAGTACACATATTTCATTTGCTAACATTCATTTTTCGTATGATAACAGCATTTGCAAAATGTTTTCCTCTACATTTGGACGAAAACGAGTTTCACGAATACGTGGATTCGAATCGTATGCTTTCCTGTTTATCACTACATAGACGGTGACAAACTTTCGACCAGCAAACAGCAATATTTCTGTCATTCGCTGTAATTGCCCATGAAATCCTCCTAGCTGGCGTATTATTCGGAACTTTATAGCTACACATCTACGTGCATTTCGTGTACCGAACTATGAACGTTAGAAACGTATGTTTGTATATAGGCGAAATGCCAATGTTACCCAAATGTTCCAATTAGAAACATAAGAGGGATATATTAAAATTTTATATGGATTTGTCGAATGTCTATAATGGCAGGTAATCTTCTTTTTATAATAAGCATAAAATCCATACAATTGTTTTTTATAATAATAACGGTAACAATAGTTTTATAAGAAAAAGAACAAAGAAGAAGAAAAAGAAGAAGAACGGTAAAAGGAAGAATTTATATCGTCGAAAGACATGGTAAAATCTCGAACGATTATTAATCATTTCATTTTCAAAGCTATGGAAAAGAAGTTGAATTTTTGATAACGATAATTCTTTCATAAATCATATTAATTCTTTCCCATATATTCTCGTTATATCGATAACAAGTCCCGATCATCTTATACTTCGTTTGCACGTTAAAAACTCATCTACTTTCGCCCTTTTATTCCCCTCTCGACGTCACGAACATCAATCACTTAAGGGTAAGTGCGTCACTTTTCCAGCTTTCACGTGCGGCCAATGTTACTTTGTCGATCTTTTCTTTCCTTTTCTTTCTTTTTTTTCGACCTCTCTCTCTCTCTCTCGTACTCCTCGCTCTAACGTTCTTTTTTCATTATTTCTTGAAGCAGGACTGCAGGGAGAAATTGTTCCCCGTTGCACTCGGCATCGATATTCTTTCGATATTATTGTGAGAAAAGTATTCACGATGGGGACAAGTTTTCTAACATATGTTTTCATTGATCGCGAAAAGACTGAATAATATTGTGAAAAGATCGAAAGATAACCTCCGTTATTACATAGAAACGTTCGATCCTTCATAATATAACACGAATAAGAGACAAGGAAAAAAAAAGTTTGAAGTAACAGAGGTTGAAATATTTTTGATGAAATGTTTTCGATAAAAATAAGTTTGCGAATAAAGCTGAGGTCAGCGTTCTTTATAAATCTACGATATCTGAATTCTTTTCGTTTATTTTCTTTCATCGTCTGGGACAGATTTAAAGCACATCGAGGAAACAATAAATTCAATAATATCGAAGTTTAAAACGGTAAGAGTGTTTCGAACGACGAGTCCGATATTTATAAAATAGAATAGCAATATAAGATAAGAATTATCGATCATGCCGTCAAGCTTTTTATATAATAGATATTACGAATGAATGGGCTTATTAAACATTCTTGAAACATTAAGATAAATAATATACGTATATATATATATATATATATATATATGTAGATACGTACAAAAGGTAAAGAGAAAGACAATAAATAGTGTAAGCATACACCTACGGGTACAGTAATAACGGCATAAAGTAATATTTCGCCAGGTGAAATGCAGTTCCTGTGGGATTAATTTAAGTCTAATAGGATTATCCTTAATCCCTCTAGTCCTGCGGTACTGCCCTTACCACTGGTCTCTCTATCTCTTCTCTCTCTCTCTCTCTCCCTCTATCTCTCTCTCTTTGTCTCTCTGTTTCCTTCTCTCTCGTTTCATCCTTTTTCCGTTGGATCTTCGCAGTCAACCAAGAGGCTCATCGGAGTTTCAAGAGACAAGAAAAGAGTACGGCGTTAAATTAGTCTTGGGTACGGTCTTTTCCTTGAGTAATGTATGCGTGTCCTGACATTATCATGCGAGTGATATCATAGGACTCACCTTCTATATCCTTCTATGTTCCTTTCTTCGCACCCTTTCTTTTTTCTTATCTCTCTTTTTTTTCTTTTTCTTTTTTGCTCTCACTGGCACTTCTCCCGTCCATTGTTTTTCTCACGAGCACTAATGAATTATTACAGCACCGCGTAGTACCAAGAAGGAGAAGGTACCTTTTCTCGACGCTCTCTCCGGCTCGTCGTCGTCCTTGTTTGTTCGCACTTCAAACTCAAATTTGCAGGAAAGATATCTCGAGACTCGAGTCCACGAACTGTAAGTTAAGTAGGTCGCGTTTTAATATGCCGACGAGACGTCGTGAGAGAATGTCTTTTCGGTTAAATGAATTGAGATTACGATTCCTTTCGCGACGATGAAATAATGTCTTCTTCCGTACCGTTTTAAAGGGAAGCTGTTTAAAAGATATTCCGGGAAGAAGAGTCTAATAAAAGAGCCTTTAAATATTTATCGAGTTATTCATCGCGCGAAAGAGCTAATTCGTCGAACGTTAACGGAGCCAAGGTTCTTCGACGACGACGACGACGACGATGACGACGACGACGACGACGACGACGACGACGATGACGATCACCACGAAACGAAATGCAGATTCTGGAAACCTTATAATCTCAACCTATCTTTTCTTTTTTCTTCTTTCTTCTTTCTTTTCCTTGTCTTGACGAAGATCCTTCTTTAAAAGAAGGACGAACGGAAAGTTTCAGATATCAAAAATGTCGTCCGTTGATTGAATTCAAACTACGAGACTATCCTTGGAAGTTATCCAAGTGAATTTCGATCGTCGTTGATGTATATATATACATATATATATATATATATATATATGTATATATATGTATATGTATATATAACGTCGAACATTCTAAACTTGAAATTATACGATCGATGAATTTGAAACTTTCTAATGAGTTTTATACGTAAATGACGAAGCAGTGGGATCTGAGATTTTGAGTATAGTTGAAATATTAATACCAGAAACTGAAACGAAAATCGAGTGAGAACGTACGGAGCACTAATTACGTTTCCAAGGGGAATGATCCGAGAAGACAAACGTACTACTACTAGTACTATGAATAAAAAAGTGATAGACGAAGAGAAAAGAGGAGAGAAAAGGAAAGAGAGAAACATGAGAGAACGCGGAGCTTTTTTGCTATTCTTTCCGGGAGAGCGAGTGCAAGCTAACAATGCTTTGGTAGGTACGTACATAGAGAGGGAAGACGCCCGACGCGCTGACTCGTTGTTATTTTTAAAGAAAGATATTCATTCGAAAGGGTAGATTTAAGGCGCTGTCACAGAAGAAATTTTTATCCATTATACTTTCTTCCTATTTCATAATGACGGTCTTGTTATTTCTTTTTTTATTTTATATATATATATATATATATATAAAATATAATAAATTTTATATATATACATAAAACCTTCTTATCTATAATTTTTTCTTTTTTCTATCCATCTAGAGAAAGACAGAAGGAAAGAAAGAAGTAAATGAATTTTTTCCCGCATATTTTTTGGCATTAACGATGTATTTCTTTCTTTGTCTCCTTACACCGAACTTCATATATATTTAATTTCACGTAAGAAATTAGTCCATTTAATATTTCTTCATTTCAGACGTCAGTGTTTCGCTTTAGTTTTTGTGAGATACCAGCTATATCACCTTCATATATCATTTATATATATCTATGTTTTATCATTTCATATAATATCATATTAGTTGAAATAATATTCATATTTTTATTCTATTCTCTCTTGTCTTCTTTCGTTAATTTATTTTTCCATACGTTTGTAATATAATTAAGATTTCTGTACTTACCTCGTCGTAAAAAGTAAGTTTTACGCCAATTGAACGAAACGTAATCGCCGTAGACGCAAATCGAACTGCTAAAATTTCTCGGTCTGAAATAACTAAGATTAATGATTAATCTAAACGAAACGTTGGAAATACAACACAATGTTGGAACATTGTGTCATTGAAAGGACATGCGTTAGTATTACAATGGATTATATAATGAGAAGAAGAAAGACGAGCAGTAGTTGATGACGCATTTGCATGGAAAGAAGAAAACAAGACAGTATATATTCTTAGCGCATAAACTTAGTATTATTTTACTTACCTTTTGTCACAAACTGAGTTTGTACCTTCCTGTTTTTTTTTCTTTTTCTTTTTTTTATTTCTTTAAATCCGAATCATCGAATCCATTTTTATAATTACATTATGAAAATCCATGAGTTATTTTGCGTAAGGTTAAATGGAATTTGAAATAAGTTAAGTTAAATTAGATTTGTGCGTATAGACAACGAGAGAGAGAGAGAAAGAGAGAGAGAGAGAGAGAGAGAGAGAGAGAGAAAGGGAGGGAGGAAGGGAGGGAGAGAGGATTCGAATTTCCCTGACTGAGATATAATATTTGTTGAAACATGACTTTTAGGTTACGAAAGTACGGCACCCGTGGCGGCCATAATGGGTCCTCGGGAGCAAAGGGTGCCATCGGGGTCGACGATCACCCTAAGATGCGTCATATCGTCTCCATATCAGACTCGTCCCATCAGGGGTGTACAATGGCTTCAGGATAACAAACTCCTAACATTCCAGGTAATGTTGCTCTCAGCACGTTCCAAATTTTATCGGTACGGATAGACGTGCTGCTTTAATGAAATTTCCTTTTTGATGCTTCTATCGCAAGGAAAAATCGTCGCGAGGCAGCAGGTAAAGCGAGAACGCTCGTAAATCATTATTGCGAATGTGGGTCGCGCTTGCTTTCCTTCTTTCACTTTTATCTCCATTTCTTCTCTTTTTTCTTCTTTTTTTTTCTTTCCTTCTTTTTTCTTTTTTTTTTTTTTTTTTTTTTTTTTTTTACGTTTTTTTCTTCTCCCCTTTTCTTCTTTCTCTTCTTATTTTATTCTTCTTATTCTTCTTCCCCGTACTGTCTTTTCAGATTTTCGTTTACGTTGTCGTTCGATCATTCCACGCCTCGCATCGTTCATCCTCGCGTCGCTACGCGGAGTGATGAATTTTTCTAGATTCGACACTGTCCTAGCTCGTTCGAGTTTTTCATCTCGCGATGTACATACATACGTTCGAATTACTCGTGAACGTCAAAGTATAATAACGATTTTGTCGATCGATGCGATCGAAGTGTCCCATTTTTCTTTTCTATATGAAAAAAATAAAAATAAGAATCGCTAGTTCGTAGTGTATAACAGCTCCTCACAACTCGTTGTTCACATGGGAACGTACGATTAATTCTATTTGTTATTGGAGGATTGTCGAATCGGTTGTACGAGTTTTTGTTATTTTATTATTTTTTTTTTCTTTTTTTCTTTTTTTGTTTTTCTTTTTTTATTTTAGGCAGCTCGCGGTGGTATAAACGTGGAAACGGAAAAAGGCGCAGCACAAACGGTTTCCGAATTGACTTTGGCTGCTGTCACGGAAGATGATACAGGAAAATATTCATGCAGACCAGCGGAAGGACGATTAGATACTGTGATGCTGATCGTCGAACCAGGTTAGTTATAAAATACCTTATTGTTAGATATTTTTCAATTCGCTGGAAGAACGTATTTACGGTGAGTAGGTATGTAAAAAACCTTGAGAGCCTATTTCTTAAATCGTCGTAGAAAACTTCGTTCGTGGAAAAATGTTCGTATCTAGTAATGTATAAGAGTGTGTACGTAGCTACATATGTAGTGCCTACATCGTGAAATCGGAGATGTATGTGTATTATGTGCATATATGCGAAGATGTGTATATATATATATATATATACACACACAAGGACAAACCGTTTTTCCGTGCCGATCTAAAGCACGCCACGCGTCCTTGGGATTACTCGAAACACTTAAAACTTTTGAGAAGGCGGTTGTAATAATTCACGCGGAAACTATTTGCCTAGCTGGCAAGCCGACGTGGCTGGTTGTGGGAAGGGAAAGAAGAAAGAAAAAGTAGAGCAAAAGAAGAAGAAGAAGAAGAAGAAGAAGAAAGAAGAAAGAAGAAAAAAGAAAGAAGAAAAAAGAAAGAAGAAAAAAGAAACGAACGCGGTGTACGTGCCTGCAAGAAGAAGGAATCTTGGTTTGGGTTTCTGAAAGGAAGGGTAGAGCGGTGGGTTGAATAGAAAAAAAGAGACCATAAACAGGGGTAGAGTAAGAAAGCTAGAAAAAGAGTGGGATAGAGATAGATAGATAGATAGATAGATAGATAGATAGATAGATAGATAGATAGATAGATAGATAGATAGAGAGAGAGAGAGAGAGAGAGAGAGAGAGAGAGAGAGAGAGAGAGAGAGAGAGAGAGAGAGAGAGAGAGAGAGAGATGGATGCAGGTAGAATTCAGTGGAAAGGGAACGAAGCAGACTCTCTATTATCGTGAATTTTCCTTCGGAAATTATTGCGGGAAAAATTGTGGTCGCGACGAAGGACGCGTCCTCACATTTTTCTTCAGTTCGCGATGTCGCTCGCAATAGAGTTAGCGTACGGTTGAATCTGGACTGCTAATTCATTCGCGGATAAACCGTGATCGTTGTTCCAGTTCTTTGAAAACGATAAATCATACTTTCGTTGAAAATTGTTCAACCCTTTCACGGAACGGAGATTTAAGGAGGTAAGGATGTTCATTCTCCTACCGTCGTGCGCTAGTTTATCAGTTATCTTTTATGCGTCCTTTATCGTGCTTTTCGTTTCAATCGGCTTTAGTTATTGTCGTAGGGAACACTAAAACACATCGTATCGTGATAAAAGTGGTTGCATCGTAAACTATACGATCGAAGAAGAGCAACGACGACGATGATGACGACAACGAAGACGACGACGACGACAACGAAGACGACGGCGACGACGATGGCGACGACAACGTGGATGAGAAAACGAAAGGAAGTCATTTGCGCTGTAGGAGAGAGTGGGTGGCTAAACGGAAGAAAGGGAAAGGGGATGAGGATGATTCAGCGGATTTTTGGCGAGGGGACTCGCGCTCGGTAAGCCGATAAAAAGGCGATTCGAGTACAGTTGCAACCAGGAAGACTTTTTGTTGCAAACCAACCGAGTAGTACCTCTGAAGAGAAAGAGAGAAAGAGAGATAGATAGAGAAAGAGAGAAAGAAAGAGAGGGGGAGAGAGAGAGAGAGAGAGAGACAGAGAGAGAGAGATAAAGGAAAGAGGGTGGTAAAAGGGGTGGTTGGTTCGGTGGCTGTCTGAGCTAATTCTTATGCGATCGTAAATAACGTCGCGCATATATCAAAACTTACAGCGACTAGTGCTCCCGAGCAAGCCCCTCGCAGCCGGCGCCGCCACCCAGTGCATTTGCTCTTCGCCGGCAGCAACCTCTTTCACCCCTTGGCAACTCTTAGCCGTGCCACCGAACTCGACGTTTCATTCCACCTTTCTCTCACCCCGCAACCACCTCGTCCCGTCACTTACGTTCTCATGACAGAAGAGCTCGCCTGCCAAGACCATTTCTGTCGGCCAGTTGAAAGATACAATTCCACGATTCTATTAATTAAGAAAGTTAATTACGTTGGAATTCAATTTTCCTAATTGCACATCACCGAGTTTTCATACTTCGTCCCTTCGTTCCTTCCTTCCACCCACAGTTTTCAAGCTTCTTTATCCCTTCTCTTCTTTCATCGACCATCACCTGCCAGTCTTCTCAGTATGCCCCCTTCTTTCTCTCTCTCTCTCTCTTTCTCTCTCTCTCTCTTTCTCTTTCTCTTTTTTTTCCTATTCTCGTTCTTTCGTTCTCTCTTCAGTCTCGAGGGTACAGGTCCAAAGTTTTTCTCTCCAGTGCCCTCTTTTAATTTCGCTATCTCTCAAATCAAGTGGCGCTTCCTTCTTCGCCGTTACCTTTTCCCCGTCTCTTCTAACCCCTGGCCCGTCACTTTCCTTCTACCCATACTCTTTTTTTTTTCTAGAACGGCTACTTCTTCGGGTATATCATTCGCGAAAGAAGAACGGCGAGAGGTCGTTTCTGAATCATTTCCTTCTACCCTTTCCTTCTGCCACTCCTCTAGCACCAGCCCATCTCTGTTCATTCGCTTTTATAAAGCTCCTCCGTACGCCTTTTGTTCTTATTTATTTAATTTCGTTTCATACGATATATATATATATATATATATATATATATATAATCTACTGTATATAGCAGTATTTCCATTTCTGCCTTTTTCTTCTCTCTTCGTTTGAAGACTCATTTGAACGCGAAGAGTTAACTCTTTCACTCTTTCACTCTCTCTCTAACTCTCTCTCTCTCTCTCTCTCTCTCTCTCTCTCTCTCTCTCTCTCTCTCTCTCTCTCTCTCTCTCTCTCTCTCTCTCTCTCTCTCTCTCTCTTCTCTCTCTCTCTTTCTTTCTCTCTCTCTCTCATTCTTTTTCTCTTGCTTCGTTCTTTTCTGTGTTAATCTTTTTTCGTAAATAATGCAAATGGAAAGTCGATCGTCGGTTTTAATGACGGAACATGTGCCTCCACCCCCGGCTCCGCTTTCTCCCGTATATTTTTTGTTTCTTTTCTATGTTTTTTTTTTCTCTTTCTTATATGATTACTAGATTATTATTGCGAGAAAGTTAGATTTTATATTATGTCCCCTTTTCTCATATTTGTTTTGCGAGGAAAAAGAGTTTCTCTCTTCATTACGACATGCTATCGACAAAACTATCGTTAAACCTGATAACTTTCGTTCGTTTCTTAGTTCGAAGAATACGACCCACTTGCCTTAAGCTATTACAAGAAGGAATTAATTACTACTTGCACGAGTTTTGTGAGGTAAGCTCTGTCAGAAATGAAAGGAAGAGAGAGAGAGAGAAAGAGAGAGAGAGAAAGAGAGTCGCAACAGTTAATAAATCGTTTAAAGGGGATAGACCAAATTTAGACGAACGAAATAGAAAAGTTGTGCCTTTCTCTCTCTCTCTCTCTCTCTCTCTCTCTCTCTCTCTCTCTATCTCTCTGCTGTGATTTATTTAAGAACATAGAATTTAATAACGTCTTTCATTAAGTGATCACGGAAGAAAAGTAAGAAGAAGCGTAAGAAGATACAGGAGAAAGACTAAGGAAGAAAGTTAAAGACGGAGATACGAAGAGAAAGAGAGAAACGGGAATTGACTTGGAGCCAGGATAGGTAGAAACGATGGCCTTGGGAGCCGTTAGGTATTAAACTCTCCGTAAACTTGTGCAGTTCATTCTACTCTCTCTCTCTCTCTCTCTCTCTCTCTCTATATATATATATATATATATGTAGACGTAGTTACATATATATATATTTAAAAATCTTTAAAGCGGTCATAAATCGAGTCGATGACTCGAGCGTCGTCGCACGATCGCACGTGGGATTTCCAATAGTCCAAGAACTCTCTCTCTCTCTCTCTCTCTCTCTCTCTCTCTCTCTCTCTCTCTTTCTCTTTCTCTTTCTCTCCCTAGTGACGCATATGTTGATAGGACTTATCATAAAAGAAGAAAGAAAGGAGAGAATGGAAAAAGACAAAGAAATCTCGAAGCATTCTCGTATTCATGAATTGGTCTTGGAAAAGAGTAATTCAAGGATCGAATGATAGGGAAGTCTTTGGAACGATCGATCTCGATCAATGAATATCGATGATCGTGAATATCCTGAGAGAAAATTAATGGCTCGAATGATTTAACGACATTCTTCGGTGCATAGATTTGCATTCGTAGTGTTAAGTAGACTTGCCGGAGCTTGAAATGCGGACTAAATTGTGCAAACCGCAAGCAATAGGAGTGCGCATCGTCCAACTATCGTGTTTCAATGCCGGTAGCAAATCGAACGTGCTCGAAGGATTTAACTCTCTCATCCCATCTCAACCCCTCTCCCTTGCTCTTCCTTCTCTCCTACTCCCATTTGATTCATTGGACGAACACTTTGCCGAGAAGCGTACTATTGCACCGCGAAGAGCACGTCGTATGCTCTTTACACGCTCTCTCTCTCTCTCTCTCACATGCGAACGCCACGCGTTCGTGCACGTGTTTCTCTTGACTCGTGCGTACGACAATCATATGCTCTTTCTCTCATCCCCTTTGAGATGATGTGCATATATGTACTATATATGTACAAGGTACACGCGCGCACGTCCTTCAAAGGCCGTTATTCACACGTAAGGGCGATTATCCTCCTAACTTTGGTCTCTATTGACCGGACGATTCGTATAGGTAACGACGTGGCTTTCCTACGAATGCTTGACCATCGCTATCTCTATTAGACATATACCTAAACGCGAGCGTAGAAACAAATGGACACTTTCAAGATTAGAAATTACTTTTCATGCTTCGGTGTTATTTGCATACGATCTATCGGATATATCTATCTCCTTTTCAAGATGAGATAAAGTACTTTGTTGTAGACAAAAAAGAAAAAAAAATAAAGAGAGGAAAAAAAATTTATCTTTTTCCTTTATTAAAAGATAAGAAAGTATTACATATAAATTAAGCTGAATCGTTATTACACGTTCTTCGTATTATAGTAACAAGTTATCTGCGAAGCATTTCTTCACAGATTAATTTACTTATCGCGATCTATTTCTGACGATTTCGTGAATCTTTGCAGCATTAAAAAGAAGTCACATAAAATTTGACGTTGCATTTAACTAAGATTAGCTTGAAAGTATTCCGAAATTGTTCTAACTTCGAGAAAATGTATAAAAGGAAGTATAAATGAAATTTTTTGTTGAGCGTAGATAAACGTTCTGAAAGCAAGAATACAGAATAGTTTTTTCACTCGGATATAAAGCTTTAAGAGGACGTAGTATACGAGAGTTTAAGGCTGTTTGATTATGCGTCAAGTGTCATCGTGCAGTCGTTGAATCTTTTGAGATATTTAAAAATTTTTCATAACAACGTGATTTCATCGCGAGCAAAAGAAATTAAAATTTGTCTTCTTTTACTTGACTAAATGGCAAGGAAAATGAAGATAAAATGATAACGTAGAACATACGAGTTTCAACGTCGTCGTAGGTATTGGTGTTCAAAGCGTCAGCCTTCTGGTACACGACTTGTACGCGGTCTTAAATGAGATTTATCGTTGCCGGTAAATTTTAAATTAACCGCGGCCAAGTAAAGTGCGTTCGAAATGGAACCGGCTCCGTTGCTCCGTTACTCGTGGTAAATACTCATTTATTAATGAGTCCTTCCAAGTGAGCGAGTGTACTATGGTACGAAGAAGCTAGTCGAGTGTCAGTTGGTACGTTCAAGCAATATTATTTTCTTTTCTGTTTCAGGAGAACGTACGGAAGCCATGCAACGTGACGCTGGATACATCTCTTCCGGAAATGACGTCAACCACTGGTCCGGGCTTTTATTTCCGTTATCATGGTTTTTAATATTAGCGTGAATGAAACAGCCGATTTTTTATCGCAATAGTCCGAAACTCAAAGTATTCTCTATTCACAATATCTCTTTCTATTACTTTAAAAATTTTTTATATTTTTACCTAAGTAGTACCTAAAAAACAAAAAGACTAAAAAAGCTTACATCTTATGAGAAAGGGAGAGTAGAGGTGCGTTTTGATAAGTTTCATAAGATTATTGCTTTTTTTTTTCTTTTTTTTTTTTTTATAGTAAGAAACGCAAAGAAAATGAGAGCGTCTTGTCGTTCGCGTTTAAGTTAGTAATTTATACACGATTCTTTTTCTTTACAGCGAAGCATACACTTTCTGTGCTAACTTATTACCTATGAAGGTAATATCATTTTTTTCTTTGCACATTTTACGACGTTAAACACATGGAAACATGCGAGAAAATATTTAGATATGCACATGCACACGTATATTATTCGACCATTTAACTTCTCGTTCGTTTCTCGTTAATCGGACCTACTTTAATTATTTCCGCTTAGATACATATTATCTTTAATTTAGTTAGCCGTTTAAGAGTCTACTTTTTAAAGTTCAAAAGAAACTTCGATCGATTAATGATCGAAAACTCAGGCATTTCATTGAAGAAATAGAGTACGGATTTTTTTTCTTTTCTTTTTTCTTTTTTTTTTTTTTTTTTTTTCTTCTTTCTTATAAGGACGACGACGATAAAATGTTGAAGCGATGGAGGGGTGGGGGGTAGAGAGGGCTACGCTTGACTCGCATTAAATCTTTTTCATCGTTAACTTATTTTTTTCGCAAATAATTTAGAAAGCGAGCGAGTCACGATACTTCATTTCGTTCACGACGTGCGAAGCCATTCGTGTCCTTTGGCCGTTCTTCTTTCTCTTTTTCGCTCTCTTGTGAGCACGCGATGGCATCTCTTTAAATGACGCTTTTAGGACCAGTAAGATTAAAGTGAGCAAGATGCGTCAAAGGACGCGGAAATAATTTGATATCGTGTATCGTAGCCCGGTTCATCCTTCAGATACATTCTTTCTTTTTTTTTTTCCTTTTTTGATTTCCTCTTTTTGTAGGACATGCATACTTTTTGATTCAGACCAGAAATTCTGAATATAGTGGAAACGTTTTTTACGAAAAGTGCAAGGTGTACGCCTCGTTTCAACGTTTCATCACCGAGAGAGAAATCTAGAAGTTGATCTCACACGCTTTACATAAACCTGTCTCGTCGCAGGGTAAATTTTAGTCGATTTGAGTAAGGCCAGTTAGTTGTTATATATTTTTCTTTTCTTTTCTTTTCTTTACTTTTCTTTTCTCTCTCTCTCTCTCTCTCTCTCTCTCTCTCTGTCTTTTTCTCTTTTTTTTTTTATAGAAATAAATCACCGACAAACGCACATATGTATCAGGGTCATAGTATTTTAAGGATTCTTTCTGTTTTTTATTATTTTTTATCAATTTTTAAATCGCGAACGATTACTTTAATATTATGTATTAAAACGATTAGATCGCATCGAAAGTATCGTACGAAATGGCATAGTAAATATGAAGACATTTTATATTTTTTTCTTCTTTTTGTATTCTCTTTCTTCTTTTTTTTTTTATGCACTTTCCTACCCTAAGTAACTTGCTACGCAGAAGACGATATATAAAATGCGGAACGCAAACGGTAAGATGGTAAGATGTTTCGTGCCTGAAAGTTAAACGCATTATCGCGTCGAAGACGTCGATGATCGTGATGGTATGGGAATATACGAGAGATGAGAAAAGGAGAAGAAGAGGAGAATGACGGAGAGGAAAAAGAGTAAGAGAGAAGCAGGACGAACGCATCACCATTTTTCTCACCCTCGTTCCTCCACGTGCACGTGACAAGCGTTACGTAAATGTCGCTGGTTTGAGTTTTATACTCCATCTTGTTCGCCGACTGAAGTGACAGATATATACTGCCTCGAGTAGGAGGGAAGGTGAAATTTCTCTCTCTCTCTCTCTCTCTCTCTCTCTCTCTCTCTCTCTCTCTCTCTCTCTCTCTCTCTCTCTCTCTCTCTCTTTTTCTTAGTCGGTCCGAGGGGGTCGAGACGGGGGAGCGACAAGAGTCTCGTGCGGAAAGAGTTACTATCCCTGCTAGTCGGTGCTCTTGTCCAAAACTTGAAAAATAATTCAGGGCACGGTAATGTCCTGAATATAAAATTCACGAGGGCGCTCCGGCAATTTTGTCCTGAAAAGGATCTCCTGCCTCAATCGAGTCCTTTTCTCTCTGTCTCTCCTTCCCTCCACCTCTCTCTCTCTCTCTCTCTCTCTTTCTCTCTCTCTCTCTCTCTCTCTCTCTCTCTCTCTCTCTCTCTCTCTCTCTCTCTCTCTCCTTCTTCATTGTTATTTTTTTTTTAACTTTTCATCGGAACTTCGTTCGTTTTATATTTATATCGAATGAAAACTGTCGGTCAATTTTGCATTGTTCGCCGTTACAACATGAAACTAACAATCCTCTTTTTCTCTTTTCCTGTTTGTCTGCTTCCCTTATTCTCTCGGTAACATCCTTTCGTATTTTAATTAGCGTACGTGTAACAGCGAACGCTCGCCACAGTTTGTCGCTTCCATTAAACATATCGATTTTCTCTTAGTTCGCATAACAAGACAACGCGCTCGCGTAAACTTTCGATGTAGGCCAGAACGTGGACAGAGTTGGCGTGTGATTATGCGCGACGATGGCAGAGCTCGATCGAACGGATTGAACGGAGTATTGGTGATGATGATGAAATAGGAAATGGACGATGGAGAGAGGAGGAAGAGGAAGAGGAAAAGGAAGAGGAAGAGGAAGAGAAGCAGAAGAAAGAAAAGAATGCGAACCGGAACGAACAAGATTTTATCTTATAGACCAATGATACGTTCAACAAATATATTTATTTCGTATTTATTTGCGTTAAATTTATACGCTTGTCTATCTCTTGTAAAAAATAAAGGGAAATAAAAAAGAAAAAAAAAAAAAAAAAAAAAAAGAAAAAAGGAAAAAGAAAAAAATAGTAGATGGGAACAAAAATTGCGAATTTTTATTGGATTCGTTTAACGATCGAACACGAGTTAAATGTGTTTAGATATAAGGATTAATACCCGTCATAGAGGTCGCCTGTCCTATGTTACTACCGCGTTTCCGACTTTATTAATAGTGGCTAGTAATAGTTGTTTTAATCGATTAAACGCCCGCGCGTTATGTGAACAGATACCGTGGGACAGTTTGCGGAGATTAACAGTCTACGTTTGCGATTCGGTTACGATGAAGGTTGGTGGTAAGAGAGGCTAAGAGGAGAGGGAGGAAAGAGATAGGCACTTAAGCGGTGCTAAGGTAGAGGATAAAATAATACTAAATTTATGAGAGACCGTGAATCAACGTGCTTTATGATTGCTCGAGTAACGAACGATAAATGGTGAGAGGACATTGTGCGTCCCAGCTTTGGGTCAGCACGAATCGAACGAGGTTTTCTCTCCGATCGAAGAGGTACTAGTAGTGAGAGAGGGGAAGAGAAAGAGGGAGGGAGAGAGAGAGAGAGAGAGAGAGAGAGAGAGAGAGAGAGAGAGAGAGAGAGAGAGAGAGAGAGAGGTTGAAAATTGGAAAACTGTATTGTCCGGCAGCTGCTTCGCTCTTCTGGGACACATTCGTTAGTGGCCACGTATAGCGACGATAAATTTTATGCATACACCGTATTTCTATTCTCCTTTTCTTTCTCTATACCCATCTTTTTTTTCTATCCTGTTGCCAAATTTCACATTAAAGATCAGCTTATCGCAGACTATTACTATTTTACGCATGTATAAATTTCTAATACTTCGACGGGGATCGAGGATTCTATTTTCGTACTTTGTCCTAAAATCGAATCTTTTTAATGTTCTTTTGCAAGAGGCAGGATCAAGTTGTACAAATGATAACGTTCGACAGTTAGAAATTTTCACCTTGAAATTTTATCGTGCATTCGTGTGCCCGAACATAACTATCATACTATACAACCAGTTACACACGGCTTACATATCTATGTACGTATATATGTATATATATTTGTATATTGTGTGTATGTATGTGTGACGCACGAAAAGGGGTCGTTTTAACACGATGGTTTTTACGCAACGTTGTTTTAAGCTACGGTCGTTCGAGGGAAAATTTCAGGGTATCTGTGACGATCGGATGCTGGCTAATTTAGGCTGGCCATTTTCCACCGCTGTCGGGCATGTAAACAAAAAAATTGTTTTGCCAATAAAGTGCTTGCCATCTTGCCCCGTTAACGTGCGATTCAATTTCGTTGTAACGAATAGCCGAAGCACCGAACGTTGGTAACTACTCTCTCGTCTACTCCATCCATGTTCGATTCTCCCTTTCTCCTCTGACCCCTCGCGAGAGGTTTCTAGAGGGTGGTGAGAAGAGGACGAGGATAGGCCAACCAACCCCTCTCCCCGAGGCTAGTTCGCTGACCCCTTTCAACCGTAGCACCGTGAAAAGCTCGAATGGCTCTTGGCTATCGAAAAACAATTAAACCGATAAAATATCGACAAACACAACCGGATAGACGGCTGATACTTTATCGGTCGCACGAGAAACGCCTTCGATCGTGCGATTTCGTGTGCCGATCGTTATGTACTACTTCCTCGAATCCTACCATTCTCGCTTTCCATTTCCTTTTCTTTCCCGAGATTCCACCATTGGCATCATTTTTACCGGTTTCATGTTGTTTTCTATCCCTTTTCTTTCTTCTTTCTTTTTTCCAATTTTTCGTTCGTATCGGAAAGCGTAAAAGTGAGAAAGAAAGAGAGAAAGAACAAGCGAAAGAAGAGTATCTTCGAAGGCGTTCGATTTATTCATCAGGGTCAGTTAATCCGATGAGAAAATAGGGAGATATTGTATTATAAATGGGGCATCAATTGTTAATAATCACCAAAGAGCTCAGCCTTACTTTAAATATTTATAAAATATTCTTTCAACGATCGATATTTTTTTTCTTTTTTTTTTTTTTTTTTTTTTTTTTTTTGAGTATACAAACGTAATGAGCACGAGCTGCAGAAGATAAGTTATGTTCGTTTAAAAAACAATTTCATTAACGATGTTGTTAATTGCTGTCAAATGCTTACGTTGAAAGCAAAAAAGCATGGATTTGAAATGAAAAGCAACAACAACTCTGTTCGAAATATTCGTCTTTCGGTATTTAACATCCGCGATTTATGGGCATCAGTATTGTAACGAAGAAACAATGTGCCTGTGATTTCCATAGTGATTATGATGTTTAACAACAAGCTATTGTTATACGTACGTGGGTGATGTACGTTGATAGAACATTTATAAACGAATAATTATTTATATTCGAAAACACTAGTGCTTTTGTTTGAATGAGTTGTTAGTTTATTTTTTATTTTTATTTTATTTTTGCCATGGTTGAAAATTTTTCATTACTATTCCAAGAAAAACAATGAATTATGGTTTAAATTGAGGCAGATGTCGACATATAATAAAAGGAATGCTTTCGTTGATACATAACATATGTAGTCCGTTGCCAGTTGCTATCCTTTTTCTGTTCCATTCTCTGATTGTTATACACGACATTGTTTTTCAATTGTCGGAGGTCAGCGCTTTGTATTTAGTTTGAAACGCGCAGAATGCCGAGGCATCGCCTATCTATGCGGTGGCACGTGAAACGTGCGTGCTGGATCGTACGACTATCTATTCTATATACACATGTTTCGAACTTCACCAATGTGACAATTAACCAAGAGCGAGTGAGCGAGCGAGAGAGAGAGAGGAGAGAGAGAGAGAAGAGAGAGAGAGAGAGAGAAAGAGAGAATCAGCTAGCGAACAAATCGAGACACGACAGAACTCGAATTTCGTGAAATATTGGACTTGTTCAAAAAGCACACGCACATATATTTGTAGATAGATACATAGATAGATAGATAGAGAGAAAGAGGGAGAGAGAGAGAGAGAGAGAGAGAGAGAGAGGGAGAGAATAGAATAGAAATAGAAATTGGAAAGGTGTAAATGAAAAAAGAAGCAACCGTAAACGGAAGGGCATACCGAAGAAAGAAGGAAATTCGCTTTTATAATCATTACATTTATTCAAACAGTTTCCACGTCAATGATTACTTTTTTTTTTTTTTTTTTTCTTTACAGTATAATATTCTGCGCCGCATTCTGTCCCTCATATTTCTCCTTCTAATATTTCATCTGTTTCTTTTCTTCTCTTCTTATTTTATTTTATTTCTTTTTTATTTTTCATATTCCTCTTTGCTCGTTTTCTCTCGCGTTTCGCATCTTTAAATTTATGTCGACCTTTCTCGTATAACGTGATACAATGTGTCGATTATGAATCTTTTATATACAATGTCTTCTAGACTTACTCGTTAGTGTACAATATTTTCGTTAAGGATACGAGTCGCAGATATCAATGAGCTAGGTCACAAGTGAGCTATAATTGTTCGCACGTTAGTATGTTTTCTTCGCCTCTCGAGGATATCTTTCCGTTCAATCGTCGTAATTACGCGCGCGGAAAATCGTACGAGAACGCGCTTGATGTTTCTTTCGCTATGCCACGCATTCGCTATCGTGAATCGTTTAATCGAAATCAATGACGAAAGTTTGAAAATGGAAATTAACGTGTATCATACAAGTTTTAAAATAAATCTTCGTTATCGCTAACAAGGGACTATAACAAATGATCGAACAATCGTCTATAATTTTTCTTCGTGCAACATTCTAATCACATCGCCAATAGTATAACACGCTTCTTCTCTTTCCTTTTTTATTTTATTTTTCTTTTCTTTTTTCTTTTTTTTCTTTTTTTCTTTTTTTCTTTTTTTCTTTTCTTTCCCCTTTATTTTTAAACTCGAAACAATTTTAATCTCATCCAATATTATGAAATATCATTTAATTTTTTTTTAATCCATAACGCTATATATCACACCTCTCTGCAAGAAATCGCAGTGTCTTCGTTCAATCGATTTAGAGATTTTGTTTCTCCCTTTTTTTCTCCTTTTTTTGATTCTAAAGATATTGTCCTTTCACAACGACTTAAATTTCCATTTTATAAACTATACAATGAACGAATAATATATCACGATCGTATCTCCTTCCTCGATCTCGTGTCGTTCTCGCATCCTTGATCATTCGCTCTGTAATCTCCGGGATATAAGGTTATAAAAAATTTATATAACTTTAAGGTAAAGTCTTAAGATTCTAGGCCTTACAATATTCTTTTTTTTTTTCTTTTTTTTTTATTTCTTTTTTTTTATTTTAATCGTTAGTCTCTAACGAGTATGCTATAGTCAAATAATTACGTTCTATCTTTACGTTACGTTACGTATTCAATTATCTAACTCTCGAACGAGCGCATTCGATTTGGAAATTTGACTCTCGAGGGGGACGTATGCTATCTAGGAACGCGAAAAAAAAAAGAGGAAAAAAAAAGAAAAGAAAGAAAAAGAATCGCGAAGAACGAACTCAAAGCTTTTTTACTTTTGCCTCGTACGATTTTATTTCTACGATTTAAACTCGATATTCACTTTATGATAAATCACGATCGTAGGCCATTCTTAACGAGAGATATGTAAAATATCAGAGATGACAGGAATCGTATCGTATTAGAATTGTAAAGGAAAAGATTTAACAGAATCGTATTCCGAAGAGTATTATAAAATTCGACTGATATCATTGAACAGAACGGTAATAGTTGTATGTCATAAATGATAAAAATATTTTATTGAAGAAGAAGAAAAGAAAAAAATAAAAGAAAGAAAAGAAAAAATAAAAGAAAGAAAGAAAAAAAAGGAAAATCGTCGGGCATGGTTTTTTTTTTTTTTTTTTATTTTTTTTAACTAGATTCGCAAAAAGCGATGCGCGTTACGATAATGTAATCGATCGATATATAAGTTATATACAATGCTAGTTCGAACTTAACGTTACGGAACGAATTCTTCTTCTTTTCGCGGACAATTTATGTATAATTTATATATATATATATATATATATATATATATAATATGTATATTTATATATAAACGCCTTAGTCTGTACATCGAGGTTACGTCGAACCATAACAACATCCAAACATCCGCTTTTATATATACAATTGTAACTTATTCCACTATCTATATTCCTTTTATTTAAATAGGTACTTTGATTATAATGATCGATCGTCGACGATGATTAGCTTAGAAACGCTTGATTCCTAAAGAATCTTTCCTCGGGAGTTTCCTTTCGAATTTTGGGATTGATTCGATGATAAGGGCTAGTAGAGGAAGAGTAGGGAATCGTCGATGTATTCCGGTTACAGTACACATACCGATAGATACGATCTCGTTTTGAGAATTAGGTCGCGAGCTTCGATATTCGTTTATTAGCTTCGTCCTAGTCTAACACCGGTTTGTAACTTTTGATTGTAAAGCATGAATCTTTGCGTGTCCGCACATCACTCTGTGTCTCTTTTCCTTATCGTGCACATTGAAATCGTCTTTCAAAGTTTCAACGCGATTTATTCGTTTGATTTTTTAATCGATATTGATTTAACTCATATTTTCTCATACTTTTCCCTTTTAGGACGATTATTAATTAATAATTCTAAATCTTTCGTTTAGCCTCGACGTTTCACACAACAAGGACCGCTCACCTTAACAGATTCGAGATCAGAACAGTAGTACCAGTGAGAAGGATGATCGGTACGGTACAGAAGATGCCGCAACTGCCACCGTGTTGCATAGCTGCTGGATGTTCGCCTGAAACATTGAAATATACATGATTTTTTCTTTTTTTCGTTTCTCTCGTTGTTAAATAATCGATCAAAAAGTATATATATATATATATTTGATCTTTTTCATAAACGTAAGAAGAAATTCTTTTCATTTACCGATTTAACATTTCAATTTTACAAACATTTAGATAAAATTTATCGAGAAACCAATTCGATAAAATAAAATCGTTGAATCTAGATATATACATATAAAAACGATATGTGAAGATATAGAAAAGAAATTTTACAGATGGATAGAGAGAAAGAAAAAGAAAGAGAGAGAGAGAGAGAGAGAGAGAAAGAGAGAGCGAGATAGAGAGAGACATGTATAATCGTAAACGTAATCTATAAATGTGATAAGCGTTAATCGATTCTTATTGTTGGGAAGTATACAACGAAAAGCATAGAAATTCATGGAAACGAAGGAAAAGCCGTTGTCGAGGTTAATGACGAAAGTTAATTTCGCATAACTTCGTCGCTTAACCTATCCGGCCGGTGTCTCGTTATCGAAAAATGGTGACAAGCAAAAGCTCCGAACGGAAGCGAGTCGCGTCCTCGATAATCGCGTTAATAGCACGCGGTGAACGGCCGAGCCGTAGCCTCTCGAATAAACCAAAGTTTATCGTGAAATAATCGAAATTTGCGGTCAATTTCGCGGAGTAATCAGCTGTGTTTGAAATAACGTCGATGACCAATACGGCTCGACCACCGATCGGCCGGTAGATCGGTCGGTTGGTTGGTCAGTCGGTTGGTTGGTCGGTCGTACGGTCGGTCGGACGGTTTAGCCGGACGGTGTTACCTGTGAATTAATTATGCAGACGAACTGCCGCGCATTAACTTCCATCCAGGCATGCAATACACACGCGGAATTCCACTGGGCGAGGATATCGCGTATTAGCTTACGTGATCTTTCGCGTTCATAGAAAATAGATCTAATGAGAAGGCATTACTTTGTAATTAGAGGAAGTATTGCTTTATTCTGTGGAAAGTAATAACATCCCGGAATATTGTAAAATTTATCGGGATAAGTTATTCTCGAATGCGAGTAAAGCAATAAGAAAATTAGAATTAAATATTAAATCAACGATCTAATATAATTTCAAATCTGTTTTTATTTTGCATTAGACGAAACGGATTATGAATGATAGAAAAATATTTTACATGAGAGATTAATGTACGCATATGATTAGAATCGAGAATATGTATCATTGCTCGATCGCAAAACACCTTTCCCTTTCTTACCGATGTAGGTCTTGCTGGTGTAACATCAGCGTGTGTTCTTGGCAAACGAGCCGTGTCCGATCGACAGGCCGGAATGTCGAACTTGCCGAACAAGATATTGCGCGTGTTATCGTGAGAGAACGTTTCTCAGCTGACGAGAGTTCGAAGCCGTATAACTTGGCGCGGCCCCAATATACGGACCCAATATATGGCCACGTCAAACGTAATGACGAAGGAAATTTCTATCCTTGATGAATGAACGGTCAGTTTTCCTTTTGAATTGTTATATTTCGTGGCACGTTAGCAAGTTGTACGACGCATTGAAGTTCCATCCCATCCGAAGAGGATCCACGCCCATATCGACCATTGTTATATGGAAAGATAGAGAAAGATAGAGAGAGAGAGAGAGAGAGAGAGAGAGAGACGCGGGGGAAGAGAATGAGAATTTGTTGAATAATTGTCAAGTGCAATGAGAAACTCGATCCTTCGTCTTTAAAATCGTCCTAAATGGAAAATCATCAAAGTTCCGTTGGTAGGAAGTAACTAAGCACTCTCGTGAGTTTGTTTCTTCCTCTTTTCTCCTTTGACTGTTTTTCCGAGAATCCTATTTTGTAGCGACGTAGCTTAATGATCATAGTTTATCTCATCTCGTACGAGAGACTTAGTGATTTTCCATCGTTCCCTTTCGCATGATAATCCGGAACTCGGCTTAATTAAACGTTGAAATTTCGCTGTGGCAAATTCCACCCTCGAATTAGGATATTTCGTTCGAAATTGGAAGTTGGAACGAACGAGGAGAACGAAATAAACTTGGAAAAGTTGTCGAAAAACTTTCTGTGCCTCGTCGTTTTACGAATCATTATCTCTCCCGTTCTCTTTCTTCTCTCTCTCTCTCTCTCTCTCTCTCTCTCTCTCTCTCTCTCTTTCTCTTTCTCTCACTCTCTTTCTCTTGGAAATGATGCCTAGAACGGCGAGAATAGTAAAACGTGCGGAAATGAATTCCCTTTGCCGAGGTATTCGCCGTTTTTTTCTAAATCTATCGAACCATAATGATGGCATAATTACGGTTGTGCCGTGTACTCTGTTGCATTTCTCTTTTATCGAACACATTTGGTGCATTAATTTGAACGGAAAAAATATTTACAATTTCTACCTACTGGATTTGAAAGAAAGTTTAATAGGAAAAAGCAATAAAATGAAAAAATACGAAGGGAAGAAGAGAGGCTATTGAAGGCCATAATAACAATGTAAATTTCTCATTGAATTACGTTTTTTATCCTTTCTTTCCACTATTTTACATTTAACGTCTTTATTCAAAGGGACGTTATCAGATCAGTAATATGTGGAAATGAAATATATATATATATATTCGTCGTTTGTGCGCGGGAGAACGTAATCAAATGAAACGAATAAGTTCTTTTTCTCTCTTTCTTCTATTTTCATTCTCCATTTCTAAATACAATTTTTAGACGTATAAGTATGTACGTATTCAAGGTTGATTTTTCTTTTATATGTATATAATGAAAAGATAGAATAATATGTGCTATGAAAGAAAGGTGAGAGCTTACCGTTGAGGACATGTACCATCACGCTTGCCGGATTTGCATTGCTAGGAATGCACGTGTAATTTCCACTGTCGCTCAATCTGGCCTGTGTTACGAGAAGTCTGCTCGTTGTGCCGCTTTCAGTTTTCTCGGTCTCCAAGGATACCCCGCCCCTGTGGTGAACGCTGAATTAACAAAGATACTTTGATACTTTTCATGAGCTCCCGTTATTGGTCTCTTTGAATTAATCCTTACTTTTCTCTCTCTCTCTCTCTTTCTCTCTCTCTCTCTCTTTTTTTTACTCTCTTATTCTTTCGTACGTTACTTTTTAGCTAGCAAGATGATATTTTTCAGCTAGGAAACAAACAAGTGAATGAATCTACTCTCCTAAAATGCATTATTATGTATAATATGAAATATGTAATGTTCTCGCGTATCTCAAAGTTACAACTTATTTTAACAAATTCGTACCTGGGGCTGTCGAAATCCACTACAGCTCCACCGTGATGCCACGAAACGCTGCTCGGAGGTGTACTTTGCACATTAACAGTGCACATGAGGCTTATCGTGCTACCCTTCTTCACGTAGACATCCTCCTGTCCCTGAATCTTTGCTTGAGCAGCTGCAATACATAGTCAGAGATTGTTCCCATTAAAATATTCCATTCGTGTATTCACGCTAGAGGACTGATTAACGGATTAGCCAAGGATAGAATCTTAAATTTCTCGGCGTTATTTCATACTTCTTTTGCACTTACTGCACTTATGCTTTTAAGCTCTTTTCTTCTGTTTCTCTTTTTCTTTTTTTTTCTTTTCCTATTATATGCTTTTTAGTTTTTCAATGGAAACATTTCAGCAAACGTAGACGGATATCATTTCACGTTTAAACCATTGCATTGCAAGCTCTTTTAATGTAATTATTTGCAAATACTAACGAGGATTAATTAGTTTGAACGAATGCGTATGATCATCGGCTTAAAGTTTTATTATTTTTTAAAATTATTTATTTATTGATTTATTTTTTCTTTTTTCACAAATAATCATCCTTCCTCAAAATTTTATTTTTCTCTTACCGTATTTCTCAGGAAAGCTCCTTTACATGAATTTGTAAAAAAATGGATAAAGCGAAATGCGTGTTGATTCATACGTACATATATGCAAAAGCGGATTTATTTACATGTATGTACTAAACAACCAGCAGCTATACACAAAGAAACATATAGATAAACAAATAAATAGATAGATAAATAAATAGATAGATAGATATGTAAATAAATATATATATATATATATATATATATATATATAGATAGATAGATAGATAGATAGATAGATAGATAGATAAAGAGAAAAAGAGAATGGTACACATAGATAGACACGAAGAGAAAAGAGACGACGACAACTAGAGCTATGAGAGAGATCGACAGCCTGGAAAAGGAGTCCTGTTCTTGCGTGATTCTAACCTGAGTTGAATGTCCGTCGGATGGAGTTCGGTGCGGTGGTGGCAGGGACAGGGGCACTTTCTGGAATGGGAGGACAGAAAAGATAGCGAGTTAATCGATTTCGTCGAACTCTGGGAGGTCGGATACTACCATAGCATAAGCAAGTAAGCAAGCAAGCAAGCAACTAAGCAAGTGAACAACTCGGAATCTACGTTCGCGAAACGAGCGAAACGAAAATAAAATCGTGTTCTATAGAGCGAAAAGGGAGGGGGCAGGAGGAGAAGGAGGAGGATGAGGAGGAGGAGGAGGTGATACGATTCAAAGAACGAACGTTATTTCCGACAGGGTTGATCGCATTGTAAAGAGTTGAGCAATAAAATTGGTCTTCTACGATCGAAAGTTCGGCCAATCAAGTTACGGGCTAACCGAACGTAGTAACGCATCGTGAATCGAGGTAATTGGTTACGCTTAATTAAAGTTACCTATAGGTTTTCGAACGTGTTCGTACGTTATACGTATATACTTACGTACATATGTATACACGCATAGATCTTCAAATCAAATCGCATTGGAATCGCTCGTTTCGAATTGCTCGCATATAACAGCATTGATTGTTCGCGAGGTCATAAATCGAAGGGAATTCCTTGAACAATCTCGACAAAATTCGGAGATAAAAGGATCGAATTATTATCGAATCGATAGTCGCGTGAAGGATCGAACAATGGACGTTTCACATTGGCGTTTTCATTCCCGATCATCGAATCGCGAATTGTCGAAAAGCGAATGAAACTGTCTATGGGTGTCTCATTTTAAATAATATCGGTCAATATGTTTGATTCTATTGGTTTTATAAACAAAGATTTCAAATAAAAATTTGTTACGTTTCGTGAACGATATATAATCTTTATAACAGCTATTTTATAGGCAGCGCTGTCATCAAGTCATAACAATGATTTTCTTTTTTTTTTTTTTATGGAAAACGATATTTTAAATCTAATAAAAGTTATGGAGAATATTAATACAAATTCAAAGAGTATCTACGGTATACCTTTTCATTGATATTTCATCGAATTAAGGTGCTTTGAAGTTTAATAGACTGTATAATTGCAACAATGCGATTAATTTTCTTGCAAACATCTGATAACCAGTGAATTTATCAGTCAATTTTATTTATTTATTTCTTTTCATTCATACATTTTTGAAATTGTAATAATTTGAAGTGCGGTTAAGAGTTATATAAAAAACATTATTGAAATTATAATTTTTTAAACTTCAAGATATCGTAACTCAATGAAAGATCAATGAAAGATCAATGAACTAATACACTTAGATATCGTTGGCAGATATCATTTTCTTAGATACTCATTGGATTCGTTATTGATATAGCTTAGAATTTTTGTTAGGAATATAAAATATTGATTATCGTTAACAAAAATAGTTATGGCTATAATAAAGCGTCATCTATGAAATAAACTGTAATAAATATTATATTATCTTCTAGAAACTTAATTTGAAATATTTGCTTATAAAATAAATAGGATAGGAAATATTTAGGTATATAGTTTAAAATGAGATACCCGGTATATATGTAAATGTATATACATTATATATACGCGTGCATTCATGTTAACGTGAAAAAAGAGAAAAATAAAAAAGAGAAACTAAAAAGGAAAGGGAGAAAAAAAAATATCGGAAACATATACGAGCAGGTTAATCAAGCTTTACATCGGGCACAAAAAATATTGAATCTTCTTTGATGCGAAAATATGTATGTACATACATACGTATAGAAACGCGTGGCGAGGACAGTAGCGTAGGAGGGAGAGAGAAGGAGGCGTGAGTACGCGTCAATTTTCATGACACAAATGATAAGCGCTTACAAAGCGATATACGTCATCTCTTTATATTGCAAACCTACGGGATCGTATACGATATGTTCTTTTTTTGTTTTCTTTCTTTCTTTCTTTCTTTCTTTCTTTCTTTCTTTCTAATCCTATTCTTTTCTTTTCCTTTCTTCTTTTTTTTGTTTTTTTTTCTTTTTTTTATAGCAACGAGCTATCGTAATCCAACATAATTGTTTCACTGACTTTATACGTACGTATATATTATTTCGTTGCAAAAGTAACAACATGACGTTAAAGGTTTTACATTTAACTGGTTACTAATATCGTGGCAATGAACGTGGTTAGTGAGCGTATTCTGCTTGCGAACGAGCCATAAATCATTATATTATTTTTACGCGACGAAAAATAGCGCGATAATTCTCAAAGGTGCCGCACGAAAAAAGGCGTTGATGTTTTATTTTTAGAGCCCCGCAGTCATGAAAGGGATTGCGGTTTTGTTGTTTACTCTATGCCATCTTTTCTCCTTCCATCTTGTCTTTTTTTCTCCACACCTTTTCTTTCTTTTTTATTTTGGTCTCTCTCTCTCTCTCTCTCTCTCTCTCTTTCACTTTTATCTTCCATTCTTCCTTCTCTCTCTCCCTCTCTTTTTTTTTTTACACATAGAAACATCACGAGTTTAGATTTTACCTTCGACTCTCAACGTGAAGGCTAAGTTCATTTTAGGCTCGGTGTTGACTTGGCACTCATAAATTCCGGCATCGCGAGGCTGCACGTATTCAATCTTCAACGTCCACTCGTCCGAAGATTCAGGATGTTTGGCGGAAAATCTCCCATCTCCTGTGTACGTGTGAATCGACGATGTCAAGATATGCAAATCCTTTTTCCGTATCCAAGAGACCTAAAACAAAAAGAGAAAAGAGATCTTTTTGTAATTGTACGATGATAACAATAAAATTTATTCTTCATTAAGAGTTCCGTACTCTCATTGTCTTTCTTGTCTAAAAAACTTATATCCGGTGTTCTTTAAATAATACCAGGGCGTACATAGAAGAACAGAAACTTCGTCCTTTAGTTATGGTATTCAGTCTTCCTTGCATTAATATTCAAACTGCGAACTCTTGAAAACTTAACAACGTTTCATATAATAGCTATTGCACTTTCGAGATCTTGAACACGGCCTTAAGAATCGTATATTACGGTCGAAGTACCAGTTAACCGTAAAATGCCTTGTACGAACGATCAAAGTCTGGGACTATGCATCGTAAAAAGCATTGAAGCGTACAGAATATCGTCGCGTCTATGGTTAGCTCGATATGTGTGCAGGAAAGAAGCAATTGCAAGCATTTTAAGCCGTTCACGATCTCGCCAAACGGCTCTTTCCTCTCTTCTTTCTTTCTTTCTTTCTTTCTTGTTTTTTTCTTTTCTTTTTCACGAAAATTTTCAAAGCTACGAAAATCGCTTCTTCTTCTTCTTCTTTCGTTCAATGAACCTCGTTAACTGTTAAAATTCTATGTTAATTCTAAAAAAAAATAAAAAAGAAAAACAATAACGTAAAGATTAAATATTACATATTACAAAAATTAAATATTACAATTTTGAATTTCCAAGGATAACATCTCGACGTTCAACTAGGATCATTGATATTTAAAGACACTAATACATATTGTTATCTCAATTTTCAATATAATACGTTATCAAGCATGACGTATTACGTAGGTATGCGTCATAATGTATCAGATTATAAATGAATCATAGGATCGCGATTGTTATCAATGCGACTAAGCAAATCCGCAAATACAGGGATTTCATATTGACAAGCCACTATTACATCGATGTTATCTATAGGACCGGTTTGCATTGTAATGATTATTGCCATGCGAAAATTAAAAGAAAAAAAGATATATATATATATATATATATATATATATATATATATATAGAGAGAGAGAGAGAGAGAGAGAGAGAGAGAGAGAGAAAGAGAGATCGAATCTCGATCTTTCTCCCTCTAAAGAGATCGTTATTTCCAAGCAATGAAATTTTATTGTCCCAACGCGTGAAATTAAATCGATCACGTTTTTCATCTTCCTTTCTTTCTTTTCTTTTCATGCTTCATTGATCGGAATCGTTTTGTTACTATGTTTTATTATCGTTGAACGCATTAAAACAACGTACGAGGAAACGATTAACGAGAAAATTAGAAAAAATGATCGTAAACAATGTCGCGCAAATTGTTGAGGAATTTTCATGGAAATTTATTGACAAGATAAAGGGATCAAAAATGTGACAAAGTTTCTTTTTTTTTTTTTTTTTTTTTTTTTTTTTCTTCCTAGAGATCGAGTTAGCGACATCAGACGCAGAATAAAGGAGAAAAGGGTTTAAGAGATAGTGGTGTTGGAACGTGAGAGGGATCGGGGCTGTGACGGGACGTTAAGGATTGTCCTCGAGCCACGCTAACAATTATAGAAGTACGTGCTCGCACGTTGCACATCTGTAGGTAGAACTATCCCCATGGATATCTTTCAGGCTTCTGCCTCTCTACCATTTCCTACCTCAGCTTTGGGAGAGAGGGAAGGAGAGAGGGGGGGATCGTTAAACGTATGTTCGCAGAGAAGAAGATATTCTCACCCTCTCATTAATTATTCCCCATAGCACCCTACCGAACTTGGGGCGACCATCCTCTAGAATGACGTACGCTTTCCGTGTGAGAGGAAGACGTTCAAGTGGCGAGCACCTCAAAATTTCGACGCCGGTCCTTTGATATCTCTCTCTCTCTTTCTTTCTGCCTGTCTCTTTCTCTCTCTCTCTCTCTCTCTCCCTTTCTTTCTTTCTGTACTTCCTCGCAATTTAATCCCTTCTACCCTTTGGTCAAGTGCCTCTTTCAACGATAATGTTGTCGTACAAAAGGGTTTACTGAAGACTTCACTTTTTTTTCTCCGATTTATTTTTAAATATGGCCTCGAGATTTTGAGCACGAAAAGAAATGTTCTTATAGAAAAAATTAAAGGAAAATGGAAGGTATGGGATAATTTTTAAACGTACGCTTATCATTGATTATACATTCAGATAATAAGAAATATTATATAATCATGAAATGAAATGGTTATGTGAAAAATGGTCAAATGGTATATTATCATATAATTATGCCGGGGCGTTTCTTTTTGATACTTGAATTTCTTTTTTCTTTTTCTCTCGAAGGAAACGAGAAACATTTTATTAGCTGTTAGACGGGGCATGCAAACAAGGTGCTACAAAGTAAAAGTTAACGATCGACGAGAGATACGATGGGAGAGAAGAGGGTGGCAAAGGGTAAGTGGAGGATGAGAAGAGTATAGAGTGGATTTGACTCGTGTCCAAGTCTTGCAGGCGTAAAAGAAAGAAGCGTGAATGTCTTGAAGAAGAGAGAAAGGAAAGAAAAGGAAAGAACGTTGGAGTGGCGCGTTTATCGATATTACGTTGGTCTGGGTAACTACGACAAAGAAAAGAAAGGGTGAAGAGAAAGAGGTGTCGCAAGGAAGTGCGGAAAGTAGGTGGTAAAAAGAGAAAGAAAGAGAGAGAGAGAAAGAGAGAGAGAGAGAGAGAGAGAGAAGGGAGGTTACGTCAATGGAACGGGGGACTAATTAGTATCGGACCTCTGTACGTTTCTCGCTGGAACCTTGGAGCGGCCCTCACGAAGTAGCGAATGGGGCCGCCGGAAAAGAAAAAGAAGGGATGAAAAGGGAGGGTATGGAAAGGGTAGAGAAGGCAGAGGAGAAGGTTCTCGGCTGCAGACAGGAACCGAAGGTGTTGCTAGGGGTGTCTTGGGAGTAGTTCCCGTTAATGAGCCTCCGGTAACGACGCTTTTTTCCTTCGTGCTCATATATCCTGCCGAAAGGGGCCTGCCTCTTCCTAACGAAGGAAGGAGCTTTCTTCTCCTTCTTTTACTTTTACTACTACTTCTTCTTATTCTCTGTCTTTTTTTTTTCCTTTTCTCTATTTCTTTTTCTTTCCTTTCTCTCTTTCTCTCTTATTTTACTCACTCTATGACTACCCTTTTATTTGCACCACTTCGAGGCTTGATTTTCGTTAAAATCTTTCGTTAAAATTTTCTATCTTAACTCACGGGATATTTAGAATGCTATTTCGATTTTTTATCAATTGTTGATTCAAATTATTACGATACATATATATATATATATATATATATATATATATGTTTCTCTCTCTCTCTCTCTCTCTCTCTCTCTCTCTCTCTCTCTCTCTCTCTATGTATATATATATAGAGTAACATAACTTACTCTTACCCTATTGAACACGTTCAATTATTATCGATGTAATTACAAATGGTTTGTGCCAATCGGATGGATTAACTATCGTGCGAATTGAATGCACTGCACGTTGAAACCGCATTTGTAACTTAATATTCATAACATCCGGCTATAATTCATTTACGGAAATCAGGTGGATTGAATATGAACGGCCTGTCTATCTAAACCTCTATGTTATTTCGTTTATATTAGCGAATCTTCCTAGGATGTATTTTCGATTACGTTGCATTTTGAGTGTAAACTTTGGGATGCATTGTTTCGGTTTAGCCTTTTAAGCATCGTTAGGTAAACATACATCGATTATCGATCGATATGTGTGTAGGAAAATTGACGATTCAAAGATCAACGATTCAAAGAAAATGGAAATTTTTTATAATGGAAAAAAAAACAAATAATATAAACAGTTTTATAAAGAAATTGTATATGAGATATTCAATTGTCACATAGAAAGTTTTCATGTATGATTTTGATAATTGACGACTCACATTTTGATTAATGACATAACTCGACTGAATTAATTCGCGGAAACATGATAAGGAATGATTCGAATTTTTTCACATTTTGAAGATTATATATATATATATATATATATATATATATATATATATATATATATATATATGATGTATAACATTTGATACTTTTATTTATTCGTATATTTAAATATCAATATTAAAACGATACGTAAATATTCAAATTGAAAAATAATTGTAATCGTGGCGATTGGTTGAAATCGATTTACATCATATTGACAGCGATATAATCGATATATCGTTGTTTCCAAACAAAGTGACGCTCGGAACAAGTGGGTTCGTTGAAGGAACGTGAGAAAATTAATCATACAGAATTATTCTCTCTAACTATCGAATATTATGTCATCGACATCGAGTCGAGTGAAGGAGGTAAAATCGTTGAGAATATTTACGAGAGACGCAACATCAAATCTGATATTTTGCGTCGCAAGTGAAAAGCTGCGATAGAATGAAAGCTCGATCGAAAAGTGGGAAGTGTAAGATAGAGAGAAAGAGAGAGAAAGAGAGAGAAAGAGAGAGAGAGAGAGAGAGAGAGAGAGAGAGAGAGAGAGAGAGAGAGAGAGAGAGAGAGAGAGAGAGAGAGAGAGACATGTTCCGAAAAGCTCGCGCCGTTATAACGTCGACGAAAAAAGAAATTAGGTTAACCGGACTAGCTGCGAGAGTAGATTAGATTCACGGGAGTTAATTTGATTTTCGACGTAAATTACCGAACAGTTTTCGATGCTACAAATTGCACTGCGCTTGGGAATACCGGCGTGCCGCTTTCGAAAGCACGGATTCTCTCCTCGTTATAATGAAAACGACGAAAGTGTGAATCGTGGTATGAGAACCTCTGAGAAAATGTATTTTGCGTTTAAAAACGTCTCTCTAAGTAATATTTTTATATGAAAATTGTAACGACATAACAAATTGTAAACTCGATAAGTGTAATTTAATATCGTTCTCTCTCATAAATTCGTAACAAAATTTATATAAATACGTGAAACTTTTTAAACGCACGTGTGTCGTATAAGTACTCTGATGAGAACTTCAGTTATGCAGTGTATAAAAATACAATTAAT